ATATATATATATATGTGTGTGTGTGTGTGCGTGTGTGTGCGTGCGTGCAGTAATTCTATGTAAAAGGTGTTGCGAGAGCAGCCTCAGGTAGAACCATCTTTCTCTCACGCACGAGGAGGACTGATCTTCTCCTCTTCAACCTTTTGCCTCGTACCAGGCCTACCATGGGCTTTCACAACACGGTAATCAATAGTGGGATCGGGAGAGCGTAAACAGGGTCACGAGAAGCCTGCCAAGGCCGCTTTCGAGTTTTGACATGTCCCGTATAATTGAGGTTGCCTGTCTACAAGTAATCATACAGTAAGGATGGACTGCACCGATGAGCAGATCCATATCGTACAAAAACATCCGTCTATTTCATTATTCTGCAGGCTCGTGTTCTCAGCTGGTCGTGAAGACGCAGTGGAGCACATGAGCCGGGGAAAGATGACAAGCAGGGGAGGGGCGAGCCCGATCTTCCATGTTCCAACGTGCATAGGATACATCCTCAGATTCAAACGTATCATCCGCTCCCAGATCAAAAAAAGGTTCACCACACGAGCTCGGTCCCCCCTCAGCCTGCCTTTTTCGGCTTCTCCTGATGTCGGCCACGGCCTCTCATGGACGAGAAGTTTAGTCGCTGCCCGTACCGGTGAAGTTGACGCTCTGGCTCGTCTCGCCGGCGGACTCCTGGTCGGTGGCGATGTTCTTGTTGAGCTTGGTCTGCTCCTCCTCGAGCTTCTCGGCGTTGTCCTCGCCCTTGGCCTGCTCGATCTGGAGAGCGAGGACCTCGAGCTGCAGCTTCAGGACCTTGTTCTTGATCTTGCCGACCTGGAGGGCCTCGCCCTCCTCCGTGTCCTCGCCGGCGGCGTCGATGGCCTCGTTGAAGCCGCCGGCGTCGGTCTCGGCGGCCTCGGCCGTCTCACGGGCGGTCTTGATGATCTCAAGATCGGCGTCGTCGACGTTGGCAAGGTCGCTGGTATCGATCTAGAAGGAGATGTTAGAGATGCACGCACAGCTCGCTCTTCCAATCCAGGAAGAGAAGAATAAGGGGGAGGTGAGATGTGGTTGGGAAGACTTACGGGGAACTTCTCGTTGACCTCGTCAAGAGCGTTTCCAGCAACACCGTCAGAGATCTGGAAGTCGGCGTAGTTGGCGTAGTCGCTGGCGGACAGGACACCGGCACGCTTCTGAGCCTTGCCCTGGAGAGCAGTGGGGAGAGCGAGGGCCGAGACGGCGAAGGAAAGGACGAGAGTCTTGGAGAAGTACATGTTGATGGAAGGGGAGGAGATATTTTTGTTCAAAAAAAAAAAGTTTTTAGGAGTGGAAAAAAAAGAGTTGTATGTGAAGAAGGACAGACCGGCTGTTAGAGAATCGAATAAAGAAGAAAATCTTCACAGAAGATGTTTCGAGGTTGAATTGAGGATGGAAGGATTGGAATGGTGATGAGAGAGGGAAGAAGAAGAAAAGGTCGGAGAAGGGACAGGCAACGAGTGCCTTTTATAACAATGTGAAGTTGTCATGTCGCCCCGCTCATGATGATAGGTCTCATACAACAGCAGAAGGACAAATGAGACAACAAAAAAAAAATCTCAATATCACAATCTAAAGGGGTGATACACGTATTACGGAAAGGGGCATAACACGGAGGCACGGAGGTGGTGTACGGAGCTCGGTTGTGCCTGTCAAGCTCACGGGACGGAGCCAACGGTGAGTTACGACAAGGGCAGAGCAGCAGGCCCCTGTCTCACCGCAGCGCTTGCTGCCGAGAAAAGGTCCAAATGTCGACGGGGGGATTCTTCCTGCAGCATCGGATTGCCATCAACGCTGTACTAAAGTAGTATTGCTCTGTACTAGCAGCAAGCAGCAAGCCGCAAGCAGCAAGCAGCAGCAGCAGCAGCAGCATCAGCAGCAACATCAACAACAGCAATATCAACATCAACCGTAACGCTCTTTACCGTACTCTGCAGTCTGTAAGAGACAAGACGGGGGGGGACCCTTCGAGTGGGGTCGACGAACGGTTGTCTCGAAACCCACAGCACAAGTCCCCAAACACCCGGTTTCTCCTCTTGTTCGACGACCCCCCTGACCGTTACCCGTAATACGTCTCAGGCTTCAGCCAGGGTCCAAGGGGAGAGATCTGCTTCAATACGAGTATTCAATATACAGTGATAAGTGGGGAAAATAGCACGCGAAGCAACGGGTATCATTACGGAGTATGACATGTCTGAGCAGTCTGGTATTATAATAAGAGTATTATCATAACAAGAATAATAACAAGAATGGTAATGGTTACAACGGTCCATGGTTCCATCTACCCTTCCATCTACCCCCCCGACCGAGGGTTGGCAAATGCTTGCCCACTCCTTGAGCTGCAAAAACGAATAGATGGGTAAAAATCCGATAATGCTTAAAACCAGAGTTGACGACCTTGTTACAAACCTACAATGCGAGGATACGGGGGATTCTGTACGAGGAGTGTTTGGAGAACCTAAAGCTGCTGATGCGACCCCTGCCATTGCTGATATTACTGCCCGCCGTTTATATATATTAATACATGTACTCGTATAATCTGTATAATCACCGCTCCCCTCTCCCCCCGGCTCACCCCGGGATATTAATATTAATACGCGCATATTAATCTGTACTTGCTGCAACATCTCTGGCTACGGAAAAGATTCTCCCCCCCCCCCCC